TCCCTTATTTTTTGTTGTTAATTGGGTTTTTTTTCCTCGAAAGCGTTAACATAATTTAAGCCGTGTTATAACTGCTAATTTTGCCTTTCCCCTCACTATACTACATCAACAGAACATTAGATTCAATAATCTATAACATGCTAATACTTCCAAGCGAAACTGAATCGACTGTACTGTCTGAAATAAACTCACTGTTTCTATTATTATTATATTTATTATTCTGATTTTGTATTTCGAATATTTTTGACTTTATACAGTATATGTGGATTAATTCCTTTGGTTAATTTTGTTTTAATTTTATTTACATTTTGAGTAAATCAAATGCAATATTGTGACAAATGCTGAGAATTTCATTCTGCATTATAAATACTGTTTTTGGAATAAAGTAGATCATATATATACATATAAATGACGTCACATGGTGAATGTTATTACACAAATACACCTTGATATATCTGTGCAAATATTTTGTGACAACTGAAAAGACTGGACGTTGTCAAGCTGTAATTTTTAAACAGCCCAACTGGTAAATAAATGTGACGTAGGAACGACTAGATATGAGAAGACAGATTACAGTTACTACGATAGTATTAATTATTATGACGATAATAATGTTAGCGTTAACATTAAAATTTGTGAGATAAATAGGAGAATGAGTTTATCTTTTCAGACCCAATTTTGGTTATGAAATATTAATCGATGTGTTGCCTTCGACAATTATACATCTCATCCAACAGTTATACGACAATGCTGAATGCCAAGTAATCCACAACGGGAAACTTACGGAAGCCTTCGAAGTGAGGACGGGAGTGAGGCAAGGCTGTCTACTATCGCCAATGATCTTCCTGATTGCAGTAGACTGGATAATGCGACAGACAGCGGCGGGCCATGAGGAAACAGGCATAAAATGGACTCACACAAAAAACTTGGAGGATCTGGACTTCGCCGATGATATATGTCTGATCTCGCACAAACTGAAAGATATGCAAGTGGTGAAAAGCAACAAGTTGGCACAAGAAGCATCAAAGAAAGGTATTAATTCAGGTGAAGATAGTAAAAACAGATGTGATGAAGATTTCTGGTCAACACCAACAGCAACAACAGACAACAATCAGCCGAAATAAATGGGAGGAACCTGAAAGAAACAACCCCCTTCTTCTACCCTACCTGGGAGCGCGTCGTTTCAACTACAGGCCGGCGGAACTGACGAGGATATCAAAGACAGAATCGGAAAAGCAAGACAAGCTTTCATTACTCTCAATTAAGTCTGTGTGGAGGTCAACAGCACTCACTATGAAAATGAAAATAAGATCCGGATTTTCAAGTCCAATGTGAAGTCAGTGCCACCTACTATACGGATCAGAGACTTGGCGTGTCATAAACAGCATCTCAAACAAATTACAGACCCTCGTTAACAGTTGTCTTCGCTCAATACCCAAGATCAGATGGCCGGCCAGAAAAGATCAACAACAGGGATCTCTGGCAATGAGCGAACCAACCCAGCAGGAACCGATTGTGAAACAAATAGACAGGAAGAAATGGAGATGGATTGGCTGGCCATACTCTGAGAAAATAAACCATCAAGTGACATCACACGACAAGCCATTGCTCGAGTCGAACCCGAAAAGGAAACGGCAAGTTGGTCGTCCCACGGTGGGGTGACTTGGAGGAGGTCATGTGAAGAGGAGATGAAAGCATGTGGGCAGACTTGGAGCGGGGTGAAAAAGTTGGCAGAAAACCGAAGACAATGGAGATGCACAGCCGAAGCCCTATGTTCCTCTAGGAATTAAAGGAATATAATAAAAGTAATAAATCGATAAGGTGAAGGTGGAGATGACACTGTTTCTCCCTGTAAACACAGACTGTTATAGTTCTTACGAGTTGATCACAGATTGATATCAGTTAGAGAACCATTGAAGACCAACAGGGAGTACTGGACAGCTGTTTCTTCCTTGTTTGCGAATCATCGACAGTATGCACTCACTGGGATTCGAACCCGGGACCTTCCGGTTACAAGCCAAGCTCGTATACCATTCAGCCACCGTGACTCGGTTCAATCGCTCCTGAATTCTAACTTCCATCAATTCGTGATTTAGCGTGACCCCAACCATTGTCGTTGGTGGGACATCAATCTACACACGTGACATCTAATTGGACCTCACTGGTCACGACTTCACACTAGAACTCAGGAAACACCAACCTGTAGCAAGTCACTAGCGAGCATCAGATTAATTTGGTTTGTAAGGGTTTGTTATAATTCTATAAAATTTTGACTTTACTAATAAATAGGCTACGTATGCTTATTTTTAATTAGTATTAGGATGTCATAGCAATCACTACTGTGTTTATTTAACCTAATTATCAGAGAATGGGACGTATTGAAACAGACTTAAACAGTCATTTTGTGAAGGTCTATGAGGTTGCCTTGTGACCTGTAGGTCTTGGATTCAAACATCAGTGGGTGAGTATTAATGAAGAGTGTCAGACTTGGACAAAACAGCTCTCCAGTACTCCAGTGGTTCTCTAACCGATGTTAGCTCTCGATGAAATCCTGTAACCAATTAGTTCCCTGTGAACTAACACCTGAACATTTATCAGTACTTTTGAAGCTCATTTGTCTAACATGATTTAGCCAGGTACGTGACAATCACAAGTTTAAGATGAAATTGACTGATATCTGTTAGTAAATACGCATATTGTACTCAAAGTCCAAGTTATTTTCATTCTGTATCCGAGAAGAAAACGTGTCATTTGGCGAAACGACATATTTACTTCTGCGTTTAGTCAGTACACAAATGCTGTCAGGCTAGAAATCTGAAAATGCATAATTCTACCATATTCGAAGTAAGATAGCCAGGAAGTTTTTTCCCAGGCTAGTTACAGCTTATCACAAAAGCGTATTTGTAACTCTGAGGAAAACTCATCTTGCATTACTCAATATTACTGAATAACTCAACTAGAATGTCTTCTAGTTTACTTAACTACTGACAAGAATTTTAACGCAAACAGAAAACATACTGTTTATTTTGTTAACATTTGTCAGAGTTATATTTAAAAATACGGATGTATTTATGAGCTATTAACCATAGTGTGAGGATTATTTCTTCAAATTTGTCAGTGAGCAAAAGAATAATGCCGGAGACAACAAAATCCGTTATGCTATACAGTTACTTGACTTTGATGGCAATATTTTACTTCATGGTGAATTCATTCCTCTCTCCACATCAATTCCCTTAGATTTTGGTCGTATGAGGACCGTACTACCATGGTTAGAGTTGTTGGCTAGAGCTGAATCACAATTATATACTTAGTTACCAATAATTTCTCATACAACCATAAAAGTAATAAAGCCCTCTTAATCCCACTTTGAGATACCGCATATAATTTATAGAAATCCATGAGGTATAAGTAGAATCCAACGTCAGAAGCAGTACACTCAAAACATCTGTTTTCTTTCGTGCAGTTTCATACAGTCTACATAGTAATTTCACTGAATTTTATACACTTGGTCTCAATACACTGATTAGCACGCCTGAATTCCAGTAGGTGGTTGGATGGCTAGAATTGTGATCCATCTAACTTGGTTCACATAGCCGTCAAATTTTAGGTCAATGTGAAATAGTTATCGAGATAACTAATAAATTACTTTGTGATTTGGTCAGATATTCTTGGATATTTAAGCAAAAGATTGACTGATACAATACTTGAATATGCCTAATTATTACCAAACTGTAATGGATTTCACATTATATCATCCTCGTTTCTTAATAAAATCAGTCACATCACACTCGAATTGAACGATATATATATATATATATATATATATATATCAAAGAAAAAGTTAGGGTATTTTAATGATAAATTCAGTTGATCCGACTGGCTAAATAGAGTCAAAGATTGCCTAATAGGATTATCATGTTCACACGACAGCCAAAATATGATTTCGAAACACAAAATCTTCTACCTATGTGGTCAATGAAATAAAATGTTGATTCCAATTTCAGACACTTCCTACAATAGCCTTCTTTTCAGCGCTTAGGGAGTTTCATATTCTCTAATCAAAATAACTGTAACACTTGTGAAACCTAGATTTAGAACATTTCATTAAAGGAATCTAAATATTTGATACATTTATCTAAGATTTTAGGTCACCAATGTATTCGACATTATAGTTAGCTTATAGGGGAAACTAAAATTTGCAACTTTGATTACGAAATGAAATCTGTTGAGGAATCAATGAGAACCTAGAAGTAGTGTACATTTGTTTCGTCCTATTTTGAGACTTCTCTATAGTGTGCCTCCTAGATACAGTCTCAAGTGAACTTAAATCTAGAACCTTCAGAGTACAAAGCGAGCCCACTGACATTTCAGATACTAAGGCAGAATACAGTGATTAGTCTATGGATTCTAACTTCTGTCTAACTTCGTGATATATTTTGTGCCACCTCTAGCAAATGTAATCGCTGAGCCAGTGAGGACTGAACGACTTTTTCATGGTAGTTCAGGACTCCTAAGCCATAGTCACCCATGATCTCACAGGGGAGCGAACTCAAACCGTTCAGGCTACAAGGTGAGATCATTAACCATAGAATCACTGAGATGGAACTCAGCAGCTCAGTAGACCATGGTTTTTAAAAGTTCTTTGTGGTGGAACCTTTGATTACGAAACTTTTACTGTACTTCTAGCCAACTTCATCAATTTAGCTGTATAGCTCAGCAAAAATATAAGCGTACATTGAAGTGATGGTCATAAATATCATAAGTGTGTGTTGATAATAATCTCAGCATTAAATAATCTGTTCAAAACAAAAGACGGAAACTAATTTATATCAGTATCAAAGCTGAAAGAAGATCGTATAATTTTAATCCTCTTCCGTTTTATTTTTACTGAAACATAATTATATATTCGTGCAGATTTATTTTTCATTCCCCTTTAATTAATATCCGCTGTTTTCTTTCTTTTTTCTCTATTAATATTATTATTATTGTTATTACTATAGCAGTTAACGGAAGAAGATGGTCGAGAATTGATCAACGAATTACTAAGCGTTATCGATACGAACAATGACAATCGAATCGACATCAGAGAAGTAAGTCAAATGATTTCTTGCAAAATCACTCCCTCTGTTAACACCGTTTCAATATGTTCTACTAAATCAACTTATATAACATGCACTTAAGTTAAATGATTGCATACTAGCTGCATCTTTTAGTATGATTATTAAATATGAAGATGTTTTAACTGATTTTCGCCCATCTACCTTATTTTAACTTCCTCTTCATTAAAAAGTAACCAAATGGATGTCCACTAGAAATATTTCACTTGTTAACTTCATCGGTTGAGATGTGAATGGTACAGACTAGATTGAATTCAAAGTTAAGGGTTCTGTGATCCTGTGTTCTTCTGGCAACCCAACAGTCCTGATTTTCTGAACTCAGTGTGATCTTCACAACACACTGCTGAAAAGGTTTAAGCTAGAAACAGAAAGGTTGACTGTTGTTACTTGATTTCCAGTTGTTGTGTAGTTGATCCTGGTTACAGGGCAAAAAATAAATTATGAAATGATGACAGTATGTTCAGTATGCGCATTCTTGATAATTCGCAGATGGAAACTGTCCTTTAGTAAATTAATTTGAAACAGTGGAAGTAATATATAACTGTTTAAAACACAATATTCAGCGAACAGATTCTTTTAAACGAGTTTATTATCAAGCTCTACAATCGTAAATATATATAATGAATGCTTTATAGCAAAGCTTGAAAATTCTCAACTTAATCAAACCATCGGTCACTTTCATATCTAAAGAAGATACAAAGATGACACTTTCGTTGTCATAGTGACGATATCTTGTTTGCGTTCAACACCTCCCTACCTGCTTTGTAATTCACCATAGAATCGGAATTCGAACTAAGCATTCTTTTTGTTGATGTGTGCCTTAGTAGTAGACGTAATGACGGACCTCTCAAAAGATTCATCCACCGTAAACGTTCATAGAATGCACAATTAAGTAATTTTTATAGTTGGGTGCCTATCTTAAGAATAAGGAAACGAATTCATACGCTTCGCTTTAAGATAGGAAACATTTAAATTTCTGATGGCATTCAATCAGAACTTCACTTCCTAAAAGCCACACTCACAGAAAACGGTTATTCGAACCGATTTATTGACAGTAACACGAAACATAAGCAATCTATACTAGTCACTGATTCAGTTCCAAAGAAAACCTTATTCATGAAGTTGCAATTCAAAGGAGATCAAGCCACAGATATGCTCAAAAATCGTCTCCCTTAATCAGTCAGTAAAACGTTTTTTGATGCAAAATTACAAATGACGTTCACTAAGTCGCAGGTTATTTTCCATGTCTGTAAAAGAGATGCTCCCTCATCTGACTGCCTCAATGTACATCTTTGAATTCACCTGCTCTTGTGGAACAAGGTAGATTAGCCGTATTCACAGAGCGCTTTCCACAAGGATCCGAGAACATATTCCAGCAGTATACTTGTACAAGGGAGAACGGAAGTGTGTATGAAGCCATATTCTGAAACACCTGATTGACTCATGTCGCTGTACCTACCCTGAACATGATTTTAAGATCACCCATGGAATCCATGCTAACGCGCAGTGTTTTCTTCATTATAAACTTCTAAGGACAATGGAGGTCTTGGTCATTCATGAATTTAAGCCAGACCTTTGAGTGGAAAAGAAGTACGTACAATTGCCACTTCCGTCTTGGACGTCGAGGGATAGACATTTATTTATTTATTTTGTTTATTTAGTTACTCTATGTACCTTTCCTTCATTACTAAGATTATTATTTTTCCTTTTCGCATTCTGAATTTTTTCCACTTGTCATTTTAAATTCAAAATGTTTTTTTATAATATTGAGCTCTATCTTATCAAATTTCATACCATGTTATCTAACATGTTATCAACTAACTCCAGCCGTTTTCAACATCTATACATCCCATGAATTATTCTATATATGACACTAATTGTTTTGCTATTTGACATTTAACTATGATTATAATCATAAATATTCTGATTGCATTTCATGTTACTAGTAGTATTTCATGTATTCACACCTTTGATACAATTCCCTCACTGGATATAATTTTTAAAACCGTATATATAGACATATATATACGATTGTACAGTTTGATAATCAATTTTTTGAAAAAAGTCTTTAACGAAGAGAAAAACCGAACATCGTGTGAAAGTCAAATTGACAACTTCTCATTTGGTACGGTTGCAGTGTTGAACACCCACAACACCTAAACAAAGTCGGACTATTGAAAGACATCTGAAAAACCAATGTAATCATGAAAAGTCAAGGTAATTGTAACTGATACGAAAAATTCGGACAGCCAAAGTTAGAGAATTGAGACATTGGAGCGTTACCATAGCCAGAAGAAATTCTCTAACTTTATTCGTAGAAAACATGCGCAAACTTCACTTCGTCACGAAGTAACACTGAGTAGGTCCTTTGCTCAGAATATAGTAATTCTGCCAACAAAATACAAAGCTTAGGGGGCAGAAAATATAACAAAATGTCTTTTAAAATCGTACAGAATAAATGTATTTTCCTGTTGGCATGCTGAATATCAGCTTAACTTCATTTGGTTTCCCTGTTTCACTGAAAGGTTTTATTATTCGTTTCTTAGAATCCTGAGTTGAATAAAGGGTTTAAGAAGTAGGTTTACATTCTGCACGCTTCTTGATTTCAGTCTGACTCATCAACACCCACAAGCTTTCGTTTTCTCTTCATGACTGCTTCCGACGCTCGACACAACAGATCACACATGAGTTCTACTCAACAGTTTGGTGTGCAATGTCACTTGAATGTCTCCTCAGTGTCTGTCCAATTCATCTCCATTCCAATTTGAATATATATTGAACAGTATGTTCTTGGTTGATGACTCACTACCTGGGAAAGCTTTTGTTACTTGCCATTTTGATATAGCACCAAGTCTGTGAACCATATAGAGGTGGTGATCCACTTGACATCACTGTCAAAAATTTAGATATTTTCCATTGTCCTGATAGGTGAAGCGCTGTACATTGATTTAAGTGGAATGAACGCTTGTCTTGCACACTCAGTAGTGACTGATTTTGACATACTAACTCATGCCTTCTCGTCTAGTTAACTAGTTAATCCTAATCCCAGAAGTGAGGAGAAATTGCTCGAGCGGTCAGCAAACTCGTTCTGTGAAAAGGACATCCTCGTAGCTACGGGAACTTTAGAGTATAAAGAAATAAACGAATTCACTAAAAATATTTAGGGATGACAGTCTCTCAGAAATCATCATCACAAACGCTTGGAAACAGAAATACTACTCTTAAGAATAAGAGATTTGGTACGTTCATTAAGCATACGTTAAAGTGATTAGTTTGGGAGGAAAAAATAGGTGGGTGGTGGGGGAAAGAGACCCAGTAAATATGGATAGCACATCAAATTATTGTGAAGGGTGGAAAACGTTTAAGGCCACGGTGGTTAATACAGGTTAGTAGTTTTCTTGTGTAAAGAAAAAGCTTCTTTCGTGGATAGAGAACAATGTCAGAAACCTTTTGAACGACATCACCCAACCTTATAGGTCATGTTGAAGGATTCAATAATGGATGCGGGATGATTTATAAGAAAACGTGCTCGTCTAATTTTTCTTTCCGATAACTATATTGGGAGATGTTCTTTTCAGACAATATCCTACTAGTACGGCTCCATAGGAGCAAGTGGACTGATATATGCACACGGATGTTGCATGCGGTGGTACACTTTCTTTGACATTTTTGCAAGCAGAAGGTAACTTGAAGAAGTTGAGTAATAGAGCTGTCATAAAAAAATCTTTTTCAAAATATTCTCGATAATCTATTTCAAAGAATATCAGGTTTTGTGTTACTTTTGGATTTAAGGCTTACAACTGACTGCTTCTTTGATACTCCTGTCTTCCGCGAATTAATAATATCACTTTTCATACATTTAATGATGAAAGCTGATGGACAACGATTCCGAATCAGAGGGTGCATATGCAACTGATTCTTGTCGGTATTAAATATGTTGAGGTCTCTTCGCCTACTTCATGGACCAGAGTTGTAGCAGTTAGTCTGCTGTCCCTTGAATTTCAATTTGCAATGAATTAGTCTATGCATCGATCTATCAGTTCTTCTCAAAAGCTGAATACCAAAGAAAGACAGTCTTTCAGGATTTCATCATGAGCTGACATTAGTTAGAGAACCATTGGAAAACCTGGAAGTACTGGACAGCTGTTTCGTCCTAGTTTGGGACTCTTCAGCAGTACCCACCCACCGCGATTCCAACCCACGACCTTCCGGTTACAAGGCGAGCTCGTATACCATTAAGTCACTGGGACCCGATCCAATGGTCCTTGAATTCTTACTTCAGCCAATTCACGACATAGCGCGACCGCTAGCCAATGTCTTCGGCGAGTATTTGTCCTCACACCCGACCAGCTGCACCCTACTGGTCACGACTTCCCACTGGAACCCAGGTAACAACCTACCTGAATAGGGCCAGTCGCCAGTGAGCATCTCATTGGTATTTAAGTGTTGGTTTGTAGGGATTTGATTGGTTTCAGGTCCTGGTTTCGAATCCCGGTGGGTGCGTACTGTGAAGAGTTCCAAACTAGGACGAAACAGCTGTCCAGTACTCCCATGTTTTCCAATGGTTCTCTAACTAGTGTCAGCTCATGATGAAATCCTGAAATCAATCAAATTTCCACAAACCAACACTTAAAGACAGTCTTTCTTGAATCTTTCGAAATACTCTGATTCAGAATGGTTATCTGCAGTCATTCATCAATAAACGTCAGAAAATTAAGATTGAGATGACTGATAGAAGTGCCAAACAATTATTTAGCTGTAAGCCCCCAAATCCATAGTCACACAACAACTGCCATTAGTCAAAAGTAGGTTATGGAAGACAATTTGAAGAGCTTTCTTTATTGTATCATTACGTCTCAGTAACTTCTTATTTGGTGTTTCGCTGGCTTTTGATGAATTTCTTTTGGATTGGATTTCAGAAGACTAAAAGAAAAGTTGAGTCATTTGACATTTGAATGGAATAGTCATCCAGTACTTCATGATCTTTTGATATAAGTTGGTGGTTGAACGGTAGGGTGCTCACCAGCCAAACACATGATTCTGGCTAAATAGTCTTTCCGAAAAAGAAGAAAGGTTTGGTGTGAGGCTAGCAACCTCACCACGAAAATTTGACGCCACTGCTACTGAAACATTATTGATTGAAGCCCTATACTCCATGATATAAAACGTTGTAGATTACGTATACTAACGTGACTTTACGATCAGTAATGAAATTTATTCACCTTTACTATGATTCTGGATGAATAATGAACTGTAGAACAGAACAATTAATTATGACTCAAGTAAAAAATGTAGACTAAACTAGTATAAAAGAATTAATAATAATGAGCTGACGTCAGTTACAGAACCATGGGAAAACGAGGGATCACTGGACATTTATTTCGTCCTAGTCTGGAACTGTTCATCAGTAGCCACCAAACGGAGTTCGAGCCCAGGACCCTCCGGTTATAAGGCAGGCAATCTTGTAGACCATTAACTCGTTGGGACCTGAGTCAGTGACCAGCGCATGAAAATCAACTTCTAACAATTCACGATGGATGAAATGGACTAGTGGTAGGTGCATGCTGATGAAGAGTCTTAAACTAGGCTGGAACAACTGTCCAGTACTCTCTAGGTGGTTTTCTAATGGTTCTCAAACCAACGTTAATTCATGATTAAATCTTGAAACCAATCAAACCTCTACAAATCAACATTTGAAGAAATGATAACAGTCAATTTAAACTAAAGTAACAAGGCTCTAATAATACAAAAAATATACAATAGGAAATTAGCAAAGTCATTATTAACAAAGTTTTTCGATAAATCATCATTAAGACAACATGAATTTTACTAGTAATGAAGTTAAATAGACAAAAGAGAAGCAAAATAGGCATAACACTTATTTTATCAACACTTAAAAATGAAGATTTCATAGGAAATAGTTGAATGTTGAGTATATTGGAAATGAAATGCAAAAACAAAAAAATTACAATAATGGCATCGTTTATGTGATGAATTATCCACTTTTACTATTTAATGATTTCCAATGAATTACTAAAGATAAACATCTCTATGAGCCATTTAGATTCAATTACCTTGTTGGTGACTTTCATTGATGGCTATCCCAATGGAATATAGGGTTGTTGTAGTTTACGGTGTGAGTTTGAAATAGCCTCATGCCCAACCTTCTCTCCTTAGGAAGTTTACTATCGGCTAGATGAGATCTTATGAATACATGGACTAGGATTTGAATCCTGGCCTTTCACATAGCTAGTGAAAATGCTGTCATTCAACTGCCGACATATCTTGTGGAAATAAATTCATATATGAGTAGGACGTCAATAGAAAAAAAAAGATGATTCAAAGCGAACACTTGTGGTTAGGATAAATTCTTCTTCAGGCTGTCCAGTTATAAATCCATGAATACTAGAATACAAACATCCATTAAAGGTATGTGAAAATTATGTAGGTAACTGTATTAAGATACATATATTATTTGGAGTGATAGTTTCTAGCCAAAATCAATGTATACAAAAATGTGGGAATAGACATCCGGGTGACATATTAATGTGGTTATAGTCAACAGGATATAAATTTCATCATAAATTACTTAAAACATTCTAAGAGTGTTAAAGAAAAAATTAAAACAATATTTTTCTTCAACGTTGTGCTGTGTAACCGCCACAGCTTCTTCAGCAGAATTATTCGGATTTTATTAAATATATATATATATATACATATAATTCCATTTTAGATTTTCCCGTCGATTAATTGAACCGAAGTGTTCGGTCTCACGTTGACATATCAGCTTCTTGTGCAGATGCTTTGACGATGTCTGGGCATGTGATTTGAAGTTAATTGGTGGGAACAACATCACTCGTTGGGAAATGCAGGTACATCCAGTTAAGGAGTCCAAAATAGGACGAAATGTGCGTCCTGGATTCCACTACTAGTCAACATCTACCATTTAATATCAAAATATATATAGTCAAAAAATGATTGATATGAGAATAAAACTTGTGCAGTGTGGTAGAGAGTAATTCAATTATGGGTAAATTTTGTTTTGATAAAGTCTTACAGTGTTATACAGTAATGTTTACTGATGATGTTTCGAGCACAATTTATCGCTCATAATCATATCAAGGTAATTACACGACTTCCTAAATTCAATTATCCATTGGTGTGATTACCTTGATATGATTATGAGCGATAAATTGTGCTCGAAACATCATCAGTAAACATTACTGTATAACACTGTAAGACTTTATCAAAACAAAATTTACCCAAAATGGAGTTAAAAAATTACTTGAACTGAAATCAGTTCCTTTGCTGGTTACTTTTCAGTAGACAATTGTACCAGTAGAAAGGTGTGAAAACAGTTATCACTTATTTGTAATGAGTAATGTCAAATTATTCCATGAAATTTGTACCATCTACGGTTTGGAAACTTGTAAGAACATAAGTTTCATTGGGAGTTAGGAGGTGAGGTATATTTAGTGGTGTGCGAAGAAAATGATTACCACAAAATACCTTCAAACAAACACAAAAAAATGGGGGACACTGAATTTAAGTTCAAGGGCTGGCAGATAAAATAAAGAGGTTAAATTGTGAACTGTAATAGAATACTTGAGATATAATAAGCTTAGTTTAACTTATAGAAGGTTGACACATTATGTCATAATGGAGTAAAGTGAAATAGGTGAAAAGGAATCAGAAGATATAATATGACATGAAAAAATGGATAATTATGTCCCTGCTAACTCTATAGTAGACCAAAATAGGATGAATATGCTTCTTTTGTACACATAGGTCAGGTTTCTTTTTATTAACCTCTACAGCTACGAGAAGTAATAGTGTACTTGTATGCAGATTGTTTGGTAGTCATTATACAACCACAAGTGGCTCATCTATTTTGATGGGGTGCTTACTATCTACTTGATGAAACATAATGGTACCATTCATTGATTTGGTTATACTTTTTCCAAATTTCAACGGGAGCATGTTCATGAGAGAGTAAGAAAGAATTCCTCTGAGTACAACAAATATAACTAGCTGCACATGAGCAGTTGAACTTTTATACACACAGTGATGTGGCCATCTTTGGTAATTTATCTTCGGTACACTGTATCAGTAATCGTCTGGTTGAGAAATTGATGTGTAGAATGTCATTAGCAAGGCGAAAAAAAGTAGACAGAATATTTTAATTAATGAGAAATCAATGCCGATCATTTAATATTAAATGATGTCATATTACAATCCATCATGGTGTTCCACGATGTGGAAAGCTAGCTGGTTAGATCATTACTGAGAAATCGACACGAAGATCCAGAGTACTTCAAGGAAGAAATGAAATTATAATTTTTGAAAATGATTTGAAGTCATTGACAGACCTGGCTTACGCGTCAACATCTGCCCTTTTTCAACACCTTGATAATGAAAGATCAATTGGACAGCTAGAAAGGATTACACGCATGGATTTATCTATTACTACTGAATTTGTAAATCCTTTCTGGTGGATATTATTCATTCTAATTCCTTACTACTCATGTCTAATATCTCACTGTTCCTCTTTGTTTCTTTTTGTTTTCTAAAATAGTTAGCTCAACTGCTTCCAACTGATGAGGAGTTTCTTATACTTTTTCAGCGTGAAAATAAACTCAACTCAAGTGTTGATTTCATGAGAGTGAGTTCAACTACCTACTATTCAGTATTTTTTTGTATCTGTAGTAATAAATTCTTAATCTCAGAGTCAGTTAAAAGTTCAGAGTATCGGATGACTAGATTTTTTTTACTAAACAATTGAATGAGCTGATCTTGAGCTGATCTGAATATTCTAGACTTTATTTTTGGTGTAGTCGTGATTTTTTTATTTCAGAAAACTTTCAAAAAGTAAACGAAACATATACCACCCATTTCATTCTGAAATCACACAGTCTTTAGGTAGCATGAATACGCAACAAAATTCACTTTTGTTAAATTGTTATTCTAAATTTTAGTTCACAGTTAACTTTAAGTGAAATCATTTAAAGATTCAGTAAAAATCGAAGCGAAATAAACAAGTAATCAAATCATAGACTGTTAGAATTGTGAAATTGTGTTGAACTACTTTGCTTCCTTCATTCTGATAACTGGATAGCAAACTTCTGGGACTTTCATGCAGTCGTAGGTGAGAGTGTTAATTCAAGATGAGGAAGCTGATAAACGCCCTTCATTCCTTCGACTTGTAGTAATTTGTTAATCACTGCTTTTCCTCCCTAAACTAGAGATTTTTCACAAGACTGGACTTAGGGCGAATGCAGCTTCTTTCCACTGGGCTTTAATTAAAGTTCAAGGAGATCAGTCAAACGCTTGTATAAACTGTGGTATTTACATTTTCAGTGAGATAATCATCACCGCCTTATAAGTTCCTGATTACCACGTAACTCCTAGGGCACCTGCTGTATGTTTACGTTTCCTTGGGAGTATTTTATCAGCATTTTGACAGAACATTTATTTAGAGGTTTACTTTAATTTTGTTGTAATTGGTGAAAGAATTCAGTTGACAAAAGACACTTTCTAACATATCTGACACTTCTATGAGCCTAACGAAAATTAGTATTCACCTGAAAACATAAATTTAGGTTATCTATAATCCTGATTCACTCGATATCAGGAAAATATTTTTCAGCTTGAAAATTATTTTCTGGTAGTAAAGCACATGAATAATAGCGAATTATATCAGGTTTTCGAAATAGACAAATAACTATAGCCGCAGACAAAAATTTTCACTACCACTGGGTTCCTAGCATACTGTGGAAAACTGCAGTCGATCATCTCAGTTCATCACTTGATACACAAGGTCACAATTATTAGGAATTAACAGCATTTTAATATATAGAGCACTAAATTTGTCCTTCATTCTACCGCTTGTTTTGTTATATTTCTAGAAACGTAAGATTAAAGCCAGTCAACATGTTATAGCATTGGCATACTTCCAATTGAAGTATGCGCTGAAGATGTCACCCAGTAAGGTGATGAAAGCTTCGCAAACTAACCATCGAGCTCAGAGAACAAAACCACATCAAAATTGGCTAATAAACGTAACAGTATAGAATTTGGAGCAATAATTTGATAATTGTTAGCATTCAAATGCAGGATGAGAATTTCATCATATTTAGGACAGTTTGGTTGAGTTTCCTATCATCCGCAGTGAGTGATATAGTTCCCAATGAGACTTGAATCCAGTGCTTAACGTTTCAAATGTTAAAGAGTTATCCATTAGGCCTATGAGGACGCGACAGCCATCCTCTTGTGCAAGAAGTATCAGTTATTAATTTCTTTAGTTAATTTTTGTATTTCCCGTTGTTTGATTATATGGGAGAGAAATGCTTGGGAACTTTTAACATGTTAACTCCTTGAACTAACATGTTGACGATGTTTGAAGACTAAAACGATGTTATTTGGTTATCACATAAGCTCTTAATTTAGAGCAGATGAGAAGAGAAATAACCGGAATGTATGTCTGTTCGTTTGTCGATGAGCGTCAGTAAGCGCAGGTGGTTAAATACGCTTTTACTTGTTTATTCAGAATCTTTACTCACTAAAAATCGAAAACGAATCTCTCGACGACCAAAATGATAGTAGTAATATGTATTAAAATGATGAAACTCTACTTAAATAAATTCTTATGGGACAAGTAACAGAATGTTCTCAAATTTCCGGAATAATATTCTGTATAAGAGATTTAAACTGTTCCGTCATTTTTGTAAACGAAATGTTGATCAAATTTTATAAATGATTATACATTAAGAAATACACTCACGCGTCGGTCACCGCTACTGCTATACTAAGAGTAAAATTAGCTGGAAGGGGACAAGCTTGATTATGGATTGATTTCAGTTAGAGAACCATTGAAAACCAGGGAGTACTGGACAGCTGTTTAAACCTACCCTGAGACTTTATATTAGGTGAGTTTATTATAATAATCACATAGGGATGCAGTAATAAAAACCGGGTAACGTTTCGAGCATCATGGTGTGACTGGCAGAAGAAGCATCAATGATAGGACTTCAGGTGAATATAGATAAAACAGAGGTGATGAAGATTCCTAGCCAACACCAACAGCAACAACAACAACAGACAACAATCAGCCAAAATAAATGGGAGGAACCTGAAAAAAACAACCTCCTTGATTAACCCACCTGGAAAGCATCGTTTCAACTACAGGCCGACGGAACTGACGAGGATATCAAAGCCAGAATCGGAAAAGCAAGACAGGCTTTCATTACCCTAAGTCTGTGTGGAGGTCGACAGCACTCAGCATAAAAAATAACATCCGGATTTTCAACTCCAATGTGCTACTATACGGATGGCTCAGAGACTTGGCGCGTCATAAAGAGCATCTCAAACTAACTACAAACCTTCATCAACAGTTGTCTTCGCTCAATACTACTCAAGATCAGATGGTCAGAAAAGATCAGCAACAGAGATCTCTGGGAGCGAACCAACCAACCAGGAACCGATTGTGAAATAAATAGGCAGGAAGAAATGGAGATGGATTGGCCATACTCTGAAGAAATTAACCACCAAGTGACATCACTAGACAAGCCATTGCTCGAGTGGAACCCGAAAAGGAAGCGGCGAGTTGGTCATCCTACGGTGGGGTGACTTGGAGGAGGTCATGTGAAGAGGAGATGAAAGCATGTGGGCAGACTTGGAGCGGGGTGAAAACTTTGGCAGAAGACCGAAGACAATGAAGACGCGTAGCTAAAGCCTTATGTTCCTCTAGAAATTAAGGGATATAATAGTAATGATGATATAGAATCACGTTCTACCATAGTGCCCATATTCTACACTTACACTACCTTGAAACTCTTCGGTAATGTGAAATGTCGGAGGTTTTAACTTGGGACCTTCCATTGTGGCGTATGCAACTGATAAGTTTTATCAGTAGTAAATACATACTAAGAGATGTTCATCGGTATAGAAATATCAAATAACAGACAGGTTGATTTAATGTCGGAGCAAGTAAATTATTTAGCCTCAAGAAGATACAGAGGAGACATGAAAAGGAAGACAGAGAAACACAATATGAAGGACATAAGTAGCACAGCACGGAAGTTCTTTGCAAATGGTGATTTGAAGACAAGTTGTACATAATTTTGCAATATAGGGATACCAAATTCCAATTAGACATTCTTCTACCAAGTCTTCCCTCTTCTACCATTGCATCAAATACAAGGCGGACTTGTAGACCATTCAGTCACTAAAACCTGACTCAGCGGTACCTACAAACAAACTCTCGAAGGTTAATCTGATGCTCTCTAGTGACTGGCTACAAGTTGAAGTTTCCTGAGGTTCTAACGAGAGCTGGTGACCAGATGTGCCCACGATGTGGGGCGTGATAACAAATAATTGCTGACGATATTGTCTGGTGGCCGCACTAAGATCACAAAGTGATAGAAGTTTGGATCTAGGGCCAATTGAACTGGGTTCCAGTTGATGAATGCTGTAGGGGCTTTTCTTACAACTAGAAGGTCCTGAGTTCAAGATTTAGGACGAAACAACTATCCCTTAATCCCTGGATTTCTATGTTTTAACTGGTTGTTCTGTGATAAATAGGTGGTCTATGATCTCATTACTAAATGTAATCGAGCCAGTGAGCCACAAACTCCTGCGCACTCTGGCAACACTACCAGTTGAGAACCGCTGAAAAGTGCACCTAGGGTTACACTGACAGCCCATTCGTCATTATGCAACTGAATACACCTGTAGATGCACAAAGAGATACATTATGATCAAAATAAATTCTGATTATTCTACTTTAATCTGTTTGCCTATATTTTCTTTCATTCTCTCCTTCTACTTTTGACACGCCCCAAAACAAACCCATCAGATATTATTTGTTACTATGGTTCTAATCTTAGCTTATTCTCAAAGAATAACCGTTATACTTTCTGATATAGTATTCCTAGTAAACTTATTTTTCGCCCCAATGTACAGGAAGTGTTTCAGAGCAGTTATCACTTGTTTATTCACCAATTACAACAAATTTATCTTGAATAAACTGTTCAAAGTTGAATTCAGAACACAAAAACCATTCACAAAAGGTTGTTAAAGACAGCCTGTAATTTTTGAGGTTGCAAACAAGGAGTGATTTTGAAATAGACAGTTATTCAGTTAATGTCAGCCAGAGGATCACTGTAAATCTTGTGAAAAATTACCACATACATCACTCCTTATTTTTTGACTAGTCACCGGTGAATATACTTGACTATCTCATAACCAGTTGAACTAGAGGCTAGTATGAGTGCAACAACAGAAGACAAGGCCCAGGCAACAGGTCGTTTTATTACGGAAATCATCACGTATTTATATATATTTCATGTACATTATAATAGCTTATTCAATCAGACAAACACAGTCTTCTGATTGGTTGTTTCTTGCTCAAGTTTATTCTGTACTGCTTGTGACTGGTTTCTCAGAAAGTTAAGCCATATATCTGCGAATCTTATTTGCCCACGTTAAGTCTGCTGTGATTGGCTGTTGAATCAGTCTTGTTCATATCTTCTCACGGCCAATATTAGCGACATAGACGTTGACGTAAATTAATGTCTACCGATTGGCTAGCAGCCTGCTCTCACCATATGAGCAACAAATTAAAAAATTTTTAATCTGATTTGGTGATGTTCTTCTCTTCGTCTG